ACCGTTGTGCCACGTGGGGGGGGGGGCAAATATATACTGTAATATCATTGACCAATTCATGTGTTTTGTTAAGTGGCAGAAGTTAATTAAAGTCTGATTTCCATAGAATGTTTAATATATTGTTTTCTGTATTACCTTTAACATTGTTATATATTAATTAGAGTACCGATATTCTGGTTGTTTATTGTTTCATTCATTTAATTTATTATTTTATTATTCATAAACATTAGATTCTCGCTGTACTATTGCTACTTTCCAACTACTTGACACTAAACCTAAACAGTGACTGCACGTGTCGTATTATGATATTACAAGTATGAGGCTCTTCTAAAGTTACATTATGGGAGCCATATAATGGGTTTTCATTGATAACCAGGATTTTTTTGGGGAGAGTTTATATACAATTATACTGACGCTACATCTATTAACAATTTGTGTTTCATTAATAGTGTTGTGTTATTTATTTATTGTTACTTTCATCATGAGTATTGTCTTATACATTTATTGTTACTTTCATTAACAGTATTGTATTATTTATTTATTGTTACTTTCATTATGAGTATTGTGTTATATATTTATTGTTACTTTCATTAACAGTATTGTATTATTTATTGATTCTTACTTACGTTAAGAGTATTTTGTTATTTATTTATTGTTACTTTCATTAAGAGTATTATATTATTTAGTTATTGTTACTTTCATTAAGAGTATTATATTATTTATTTGTTGTTACTTTCATTAATTAATGAAAGTAACAATAAATAAATCATACAATACTGTTAATGACAGCAACAATGAATAAATAATACAATACTGTTAATTAATATATAACACAACATTCTTAATGAAAGTAACAATAAATAAAGAATACAATACTGTTAAGAAAAGTAACAACAAATAAATAATACAATAATGTTAAGGAAAGTAACAACAAATAAATAACAAAATACTCTTAACGAAAGTAACAATAAATAAATAATATAATACTCTTAATGAAAGTAAGAATAAATAAATAATACAATACTGTTAATGAAAATAACAATAAATATATAACACAATACTCTTAACGATAGTGACAATAAACAAATAATATAATACTCTTAATGAAAGTAACAATAAATAAATAATACAATACTGTTAATGAAAGTTACAACAAATAAATAATATAATACTCTTAATGAAAGTAACAATAAATAATTAATATAATACTCTTAATGAAAGTAACAATAAATAAATAACAAAATACTCCCAGTATTGTGTTATTTATTTATTGTTACTTTCGTTAACAGTATTGTGTTATTTATTTATTGTTACTTCCGTTAAGAGTATTGTGTTATTTACATATTGTTACATTCATTAACAGTATTGTATTCTTTATTTATTGTTACTTTCATTAAGAATGTTGTGTTATATATTTATTGTTACTTTCATTAAAAGTATTATATTATTTATTTATTGTTACTATCGTTAAAAGTATTGTGTTATATATTTATTGTTATTTTCATTAACAGTATTGTATTATTTATTTATTCTTACTTTCATTAAAAGTATTTTGTTATTTATTTATTGTTACTTTTGTTAACAGTATTGTGTTATTTATTTATTGTTACTTTCGTTAACAGTATTGTGTTATTTATATATTGTTACATTCATTAACAGTATTGTATTCTTTATTTATTGTTACTTTCGTTAACAGTAT